CATGTAATGTACGTGTGTTATAAGACACGTGGCATGTAATGTACGTGTGTTATAAGACACGTGACATGTAATGTACGTGTGTTATATATGACACGTGACATGTAATGTACGTGTGTGTTATATGACACGTGACATGTAATGTACGTGTATTATATGACACGTGACATGTAATGTACGTGTATTATATGACACGTGACATGTAATGTACGTGTGTTATAAGACACTTGGCATGTAATGTACGTGTATTATATGACACGTGGCATGTAATGTACGTGTGTTATAAGACACGTGGCATGTAATGTACGTGTGTTATAAGACACGTGACATGTAATGTACGTGTGTTATATATGACACGTGACATGTAATGTACGTGTGTGTTATAAGACACGTGTCATGTAATGTACGTGTGTTATAAGACACTTGGCATGTAATGTACGTGTATTATATGACACGTGACATGTAATGTACGTGTGTTATAAGACACTTGGCATGTAATGTACGTGTGTTATAAGACACGTGGCATGTAATGTACGTGTGTTATAAGACACGTGACATGTAATGTACGTGTGTTATAAGACACGTGACATGTAATGTACGTGTGTTATAAGACACTTGACATGTAATGTACGTGTGTGTTATAAGACACGTGACATGTAATGTACGTGTGTTATATGACACGTGACATGTAATGTACGTGTGTTATAAGACACTTGGCATGTAATGTACGTGTATTATATGACACGTGACATGTAATGTACGTGTGTTATAAGACACTTGGCATGTAATGTACGTGTGTTATAAGACACGTGGCATGTAATGTACGTGTGTTATAAGACACGTGACATGTAATGTACGTGTGTTATATGACACGTGGCATGTAATGTACGTGTGTTATAAGACACGTGACATGTAATGTACGTGTGTTATATATGACACGTGACATGTAATGTACGTGTGTTATATATGACACGTGACATGTAATGTACGTGTGTTATATGACACGTGACATGTAATGTACGTGTGTTATAAGACACGTGACATGTAATGTACGTGTGTTATAAGACACGTGACATGTAATGTACGTGTGTTATAAGACACGTGACATGTAATGTACGTGTGTTATATGACACGTGACATGTAATGTACGTGTGTTATATGACACGTGACATGTAATGTACGTGTGTTATATGTCACGTGACATGTGATGTACGTGTGTTATAAGACACGTGACATGTAATGTACGTGTGTTATAAGACACGTGACATGTAATGTACGTGTGTTATAAGACACGTGACATGTAATGTACGTGTGTTATATGACACGTGACATGTAATGTACGTGTTATATGACACGTGACATGTAATGTACGTGTGTTATAAGACACGTGACATGTAATGTACGTGTGTTATATGACACGTGACATGTAATGTACGTGTGTTATAAGACACGTGGCATGTAATGTACGTGTGTTATAAGACACGTGTCATGTAATGTACGTGTGTTATATGTCACGTGACATGTGATGTACGTGTGTTATAAGACACGTGACATGTAATGTACGTGTGTTATAAGACACGTGACATGTAATGTACGTGTGTTATAAGACACGTGACATGTAATGTACGTGTGTTATATGACACGTGACATGTAATGTACGTGTTATATGACACGTGACATGTAATGTACGTGTGTTATAAGACACGTGACATGTAATGTACGTGTGTTATATGACACGTGACATGTAATGTACGTGTGTTATAAGACACGTGACATGTAATGTACGTGTGTTATATGACACGTGACATGTAATGTACGTGTGTTATATGACACGTGTCATGTAATGTACGTGTGTTATATGTCACGTGACATGTAATGTACGTGTGTTATAAGACACGTGACATGTAATGTACGTGTGTTATATGACACGTGACATGTAATGTACGTGTGTTATAAGACACGTGACATGTAATGTACTTGTGTTATATGACACGTGACATGTAATGTACGTGTGTTATATGTCACGTGACATGTGATGTACGTGTGTTATAAGACACGTGTCATGTAATGTACGTGTGTTATATGACACGTGACATGTAATGTACGTGTGTTATAAGACACGTGACATGTAATGTACGTGTGTTATATGACACGTGACATGTAATGTACGTGTGTTATATGTCACGTGACATGTGATGTACGTGTGTTATATGTCACGTGACATGTGATGTACGTGTGTTATATGACACGTGACATGTAATGTACGTGTGTTATAAGACACGTGACATGTAATGTACGTGTGTTATAAGACACGTGACATGTAATGTACGTGTGTTATAAGACACGTGACATGTAATGTACGTGTGGTATATGACACGTGACATGTGATGTACGTGTGTTATATGTCACGTGACATGTGATGTACGTGTGTTATAAGACACGTGACATGTAATGTACGTGTGTTATAAGACACGTGACATGTAATGTACGTGTGTTATAAGACACGTGACATGTAATGTACGTGTGTTATAAGACACTTGACATGTAATGTACGTGTGTTATATGACACGTGACATGTGATGTACGTGTGTTATATGACACGTGACATGTAAGGTAAGTGTGTTATATGACACGTGACATGTAATGTACGTGTGTTATAAGACACGTGACATGTAATGTACGTGTGTTATATGACACGTGACATGTAATGTACGTGTGTTATAAGACACGTGACATGTAATGTACGTGTGTTATAAGACACGTGACATGTAATGTACGTGTGTTATAAGACACGTGACATGTGATGTACGTGTGTTATATGACACGTGACATGTAATGTACGTGTGTTATAAGACACGTGACATGTGATGTACGTGTGTTATATGACACGTGACATGTGATGTACGTGTGTTATATGTCACGTGACATGTGATGTACGTGTGTTATAAGACACGTGTCATGTAATGTACGTGTGTTATATGACACGTGACATGTAATGTACGTGTGTTATATGACACGTGACATGTAATGTACGTGTGTTATATGACACGTGTCATGTAATGTACGTGTGTTATAAGACACGTGACATGTAATGTACGTGTGTTATATGACACGTGACATGTAATGTACGTGTGTTATATGACACGTGACATGTGATGTAAGTGTGTTATATGACACGTGACATGTAATGTACGTGTGTTATATGACACGTGACATGTAATGTACGTGTGTTATAAGACACGTGACATGTAATGTACGTGTGTTATATGACACGTGACATGTAATGTACGTGTGTTATATATGACACGTGACATGTAATGTACGTGTGTTATAAGACACGTGACATGTAATGTACGTGTGTTATAAGACACGTGACATGTAATGAACGTGTGTTATAAGACACGTGACATGTAATGTACGTGTGTTATAAGACACGTGGCATGTAATGTACGTGTGTTATAAGACACGTGACATGTAATGTACGTGTGTTATATGACACGTGGCATGTAATGTACGTGTGTTATAAGACACGTGACATGTGATGTACGTGTGTTATAAGACACGTGACATGTAATGTACGTGTGTTATATATGACACGTGGCATGTAATGTACGTGTGTTATAAGACACGTGGCATGTAATGTACGTGTGTTATAAGACACGTGACATGTAATGTACGTGTGTTATAAGACACGTGACATGTAATGTACGTGTGTTATATGACACGTGACATGCAATATATCATCTCCAACCCAGAACTCTTTCCGGTAATTATATTTGTGAACCATTGATAACACGTTATTTTCGGAGAAACTTATAAATATGAGAATAAGATCAATACTACAATAATGATAGGAAATTACAAATACAATGGAATTTTTTATACATTTCGCAATTTTCGATTATAAAATGGTTGTGATTTCGGATTTAATATGACATTATGTCATATTAAATCCGAAATCACGACCATTTTATTATGACTGTGTCACGAAATATAACAACAAGCTGGAAAATAAAACCATTTCTAACAAATTCTTAATTCTAACACCTATAATATACGTATGTTTGGTACCTATAATCCTAGAAACTAAAATATTTACATATTTTACACAATGTCAACTTATTGAGCAGTCTACAAATACAAATTTATAGTAAGATTGTAAATAATACTGTAAAATTATACCATATATATCATTATAAATAATTATGCATTGCATATTTATTACAAAGTTGGAAATACTAATAGTGTTTAATAACCATATAAATAAATTATGAGGATGAGATATTATGAAATGACATTTGTAGTTTTACAAAATATAGATTTATTATTTTAGAGCCTCCCATCATTAATAAACCGTGACTCCTAGAATGGATGAATTAATACCTGCTATAGATAAGTTAAAATTAGATAAGCTTTTGTAATCCAACAGTCTCCTATCAATACGCCCAAAGTCAACAAGAATTGCGCCCGTTATTTCGTTTTGGCGGACGCTAGATTTCCATTTCACATTTACTATAAATTTAAGTATAAGCTCCAATCAGCTCACTTCAATCTTCATGATAATAATATAGATAAATTATGCATCAAATAGGGAAAAATTCAGTTCAATTGCCGTAGAACTTAACTTGTATCTGTAATTCAAGAAATTATCAGCAAAGGTAAACTATACTCGTGTACACATCAATACACTACGCGTGCCACCTACAAATTGGGCGTATTACCTAATAGTAATATTATACATTACATGCATCGTATACAATAAAACACAGTCGCGCCGCGCATTCATAGATCACAGGCTATCTATACATCACATCTCCGCAAACAATCCTCGCGCGCGCGCAACTTTTTCGTTGCTTGGTAACGAACGGAAGCAAGCAAGCAAGGAACACGACATATATTTGACCCACCTACTGCAATCTCCAAAATCCACGTTTTTCTGCAAAAACCTCCATTCGTAACCTTTCACTATTGCCTTTTTTCAAAAGGGTGAAAAGGAAAAAATAAAAGAAAATGTACTTCCACCCTAAAAGATGTAATTTGAATGTTGACGCTTTCAAACAAATCTGGTTTACTAAGTCAACTATCCCTTCCGCTATACACTATAAATCAGTACCCTATCGGACTTTATTTGAACGGAAATTAATTGGACGCTAGAGGCCCTAGTGTATCACCGCCTTTTACTCAATGTCCGGTCAAGTAAGGTCCGATAAGGTGGCACATATAACACCACTATACCCCACCACCACTGCGCTGATAAGGTGGCACATATAACACCACTACACCCCACCACCACTGCGCTGAGTGGGGATAGGGTGGCACATATAACACCACTACACCCCACCACCACTGCGCTGATAAGGTGGCACATATAACACCACTACACCCCACCACCACTGCGCTGATAAGGTGGCACATATAACACCACTACACCCCACCACCACTGCGCTGAGTGGGGATTCTCTCAGTCCTTTCCTCCTTAATGTGAAGTTCCACCAGTCTCTGAAGTCTGTTGTCTACAATTCTCTCTGTAGCCCCGCCCGCCATGATTATCAGAAACTCCTCCAAGTCTATTACCCCATTCCTGTTCGTATCTACCTGCAACAGAGAGACAATGAGAATTGGTTGTGCAAATCAACCTACGACACAACCATCCCCCACGACACTGCCTTTGATTCGCAACCATCCTTTACTTTTATAAATTGGTGGATGGAAAAATTTTGCTTACATAACAATTTAACGTAACATCATGTGCCCACAGCGCCCCCTTTCCCTTCATATAACTATTAGCAGGCTGTGTACCTCATTGACAATGTTTATAGCGTCCTGTATGGACAGCTCTACTCCTAGGTATAACTATTAGTAGGCTGAGTACCTCATTGACAATGTTTATAGCGTCCTGTATGGACAGCTCTACTCCTAGGTATAACTATTAGTAGGCTGAGTACCTCATTGACAATGTTTATAGCGTCCTGTATGGACAGCTCTACTCCTAGGTATAACTATTAGTAGGCTGAGTACCTCATTGACAATGTTTATAGCGTCCTGTATGGACAGCTCTACTCCTAGGTTCTGGCAAGCTTCAAACAGCTCTGCTGGCCTCAGAACACCAGTTTTGTCCTTGTCCAGTTCCTCAAACGCCTGCAAATACTTTTTATAAGCTGTTAGTCTTGACGGCATTACAACCACTCGTTTTTACTTCCTAAGCTGCTTCAAATTTTGAAAACAGGGATCAGCTAAAATAACTTCATTTTTAACGGGACAAAACAAAAAATACCTTGAGATACTCATTGTATTCCGAGATAGAGAGCTTTAATTTCTCCTGAGGAGCACCTTCTGACCCTAATTTGAATCTGAAATTGCAGCTGTTGCATTTTATTATTCACATACTTAATCCAACATAATTAAATATTACTATAAAATATAGAGCATTCCAGTAATGTTAAACTCAGAGTTAGAAGCAATTTTGAGAAGTGTTGAACAAAATAAAGTGTTTCATTGACCAATTATCGATATTTCACTGAGAGAGAGGAGTAAAGAGTAAGAAGAGTAAGAAGAGAGTTGACTAAAAATAAAGAAAAGGGCAGAATGAGGTGAAAATAAATGTTAAGTGTCCGGAGGACGGGCTTTCTGCTGAAAAATTAAACACAGTATTCGCTCAGAGAATTGTCCAAAATGACCAATATTCGGCTTACGCAATATGTGAACGATCCATTATTTCGTTAAAATTAAAGTTCGCTAGTCTCTCTCTCATTTCATTTATAAACTCGTTATTACCACTGTCAGAGAAAAATTTTGTATGCTAATTCACTTTAAGTATAATTAAATTCTTTATGCATTAAAATATAAAATAAGAGTAAAAATAAAAGAGTAAAATGACGAACCCCATGGAAGCAATATTAATACTGATCATATTTTAACAACAAGAAATACTGAGAGTATGGTTGTTGGTCTGAAATTTCAGTATTACAAATTATACAACACTGACGATTGACAACGTAAAACTTACCAGGATTCTCCCTATTCACTCTAAGTAACCCATGGGGATATCCATACCATGAAAGGGCCAAAATAAAACTATGGATGGTTGAATGTCATCACGATTTGTCGCCAATTGTCTAAAATAAATACGAGGATAGTAATTACCGATCGCTGATTAAAGAGCTGGCACCGCATCACCCCCCCCCCCCCCCCCCCCCCCACCCCCTAGCCGGTATAACCTCCCTGCCAAACTCACAGCTGGGTTTACACAATTATTTAATAATAAGCGTAGGCAAGCTTGTAATAATTAGAGAAACCGTACAATTAATGTAGTTTGTTACCCATTACAATAGTTAACCATTTGCTACCCAGTTGTTACCCATTTGTTACCCATAACATTGTTACCTACGGTAAGGTGCTTGTCGGTGTAATCGCAGATTAGCACTCTTCTATTACATCCAGTAAGCTTATAGTCAAATTCCGAGTCTTTAAATATCATGTTTCATGGCGTTTTGAGCGCAATGATACTGAGATAGCAATTGCATGCGTACTCAACGATATTTTTAATTTTCATACTTTTCACCGTAAATTTTAAAACAGATTAGCCCGACACAGAAACAAGCACCACTTTCTAACATACCGGGAAAAAAAAAAGAAAAAGAAAGCCCGCCAAGGTAAATAAAATCACCTATTTTCAGACACGATACAGAAAAGGTTTACTGCCAGAAATTTCGGCACATTTCCCGGGACCACACCTCCGACAGCTTCTTTAACGCACCAGCTCACTCTAAATGGCTGCTAAGAAACGTCTAACAAGTTTCCTGGACTGTTTCCTGACCGGAAGGGGTATTTCAGCCCGGCTTAGATACTTTTCAGTTGATAGATTAAAACCATCAAGTGCTCGGTTATATTTCACAGTTGACACGGAGATCTTGAAGCTGATATCTCAGGATGTGGTGCGCAGTTAGCACATACCAAGGTGGATCACCTACCTAAAACCGGCGGTTGTTCGGAAACAGAAATAACTGAACGTACTGGTATCCTGAACAGAGGTGGACAGGAGTGGGCGTAAAAACGGAGGATCAGACTCCTTTTTTTGCTAAACAGAACATGAATGTGGTGTTTTTGACAGATTGACTCCACTCATGCCCGACTGTTGGAGACAAAGGTAAAAACCTAGAGCCGGCGCTGAATGTCCTGGATATCCACGAGATATTCACCTTTAATTCCTCAGCTCTGCCGGGAGTCCTAGGGTGGAATGTAAATGGTGTGGAATTCTCCGGAGAGATAGGGCGCCGTAATTAACATTTCCGGGACGTTATTCCCCAGCCAGCTAGTTAATCGAAGAAGGTTATTTGGAGCTCACGTATCGACCAAAGATGCAGAGACTATTGACATGGTGGTGGAAGATTGAGGATGATGGGGAAGATGATGGTGGACGAGAAAGGAAGGACATGGAGTCCTGGACCTAACCCTGAGACTATCTGTTGGCTTGTGGCGATCAGTGCTAAACGATGCAGCAGGGCTGGGTGATGAGGAGGTGATAGATGATATCCTGACGGTTGTAACCTGGTGATGGATAACATGTCCAAACAGCTCGGATCTCCCCCCTCTTTATCTACCAGATAAACTACAGGGAAGTTTTTGGAAAGATGGTGAAAGGAGCTGAGAGCTAACCCTATCACAGACTAACAAATTCCCTCAACAAGCTGCACTACACGAGATGGTGTTCTGGAGACTCTGCGACTAAGCACCGGACTACTGAAGGAAAAAGGTGGGCTGAACAAGTCATCCGGCAGGGAAAAACTGGATACCAGGGGATTGCCAGTTTCAGTATAGTCAGTACGTTCTCCACCGGATCGAGGAGTACTGGCCTATATCCCAGGGAGTTTTAGCCAAGAGGTTTTGAAACGGCATCCCAAATTGGACTCCTTTACATCTTCCTTTTTTTTTTTTTTTCTTTTCTTTCCCCTTCCTTGGTCGGACCACGTGCGTGTCTGGAAAACATGTGGCAAAGATCGCAATGAAGAGACGTTTTCAATGCTGGTAAACAACTATGATCTGTCCCCGGTCCCTACTGAAAACAGGTCCAGTTATAGTTCAGACAATGGCAGTTACACGCCTGAAAGGGTCCATGAACAATTCGATCTCTTTATAGGTTAAAGAATTCTGCTCCTCAAGTTAGCAATGAATACTGATCTTGTTTTGTATCATGCCAAAGGTCATGTGATCGAGAAACCGCAGACAGGGGGGGTTTTTGGTTACCAAGAGTAATTTAAATTTTGATCATGCAACATAGGGTCGAAATATGAGCTGTTGAATATAAATCTTGAAGGAGCAACTTCTCTATATACCTGTAGCGTCGTTTCCGAGTTTATTTATCTACATGGATCTACTTGGAAACATGGTTCCTAATGGGTGTGAGCCTTGTAAATCAAACAATAATAAATAGAAGACTTTATTCGGACTTGAAGTTAAACACTTTTTTCAACATCAACAGATAAGACATGAAAACTAAAGATTGTGACAAAAATTCAGAATCATAAATCATAAGTAGTTTACAATAAGATACCCCCTGACCATGAACGAGGGAGGGTATTGTATACGTAGTACTGACCTTATGAACCGATGGGAGGGTATTGATACCCGTAGTACTGACCTTATGAACGAGGGATGGTATTGTACTACCCGTGACTGACCTTATGAACGAGGGAGTGTAATGTATACCCCGTAGTATGACCTTATGAACGAGGGAGGGTATTGTATACCCGTGATACTAGGTAGGCTTGACGTCTTATCTGAACGAGGAGGCTATTGTATACCCGTAAGTACTGACCTTATGAACCAGAGGAGGGTCATTGTATACCCGTGTACTGACCTTATGACGAGGGAGGGTATTGTATACCCGTCGTACTGACCTTATGAACGAGGGAGGGTATTGTATACCCGTATTACTGACCTTATGAACGAGGGAGGGTATTGTATACCCGTGTACTGAACTTATGAACGAGGGAGGGTATTGTATACCCGTGTACTGACCTTATGAACGAGGGAGGGTATTGTATACCCGTGTACTGACCTTATGAACGAGGGAGGGTATTGTATACCCGTGTGTACTGACCTTATGAACGAGGGAGGGTATTGTATACCCGTAGTACTGACCTTATGAACGAGGGAGGGTATTGTATACCCGTGTACTGACCTTATGAACGAGGGAGGGTATTGTATACCCGTAGTACTGACCTTATGAACGAGGGAGGGTATTGTATACCCGTGTACTGACCTTATGAACGAGGGAGGGTATCGTATACCCATGGACGAGTCCAGCGCTGAACCTGAAGTTGCGGTGCCACATTCTCTCTAGGTTGATGGTGGCTGACTTGCCGTGAACTCCCAGCATCGCGATGTGACCTCCTGAAATGATAGCTTGTCAAGTTTCCCTGGCTTATTGCCGGCTGCAGAATGAGGTGCAGCAGAATGAGGTGCAGCAGAATGAGGTGCAGCAGAATGAGGTGCAGCAGAATGAGGTGCAGCAGAATGAGGTGCAGCAGAATGAGGTGCAGCAGAATGAGGTGCAGCAGACTGCAGAATGAGGTACAACAGACTGAGGTGCAGCAGAATGAGGTGCAGCAGAATGAGGTGCAGCAGAATGAGGTGCTGCAGAATGAGGTGCAGCGAAATACCTGCTTTAACGATGTCCTGGCAGATGTACCACCCGACAGGAACTCCTATCGCTTCCACCACGAGGTCGACCCCGTGTCCGTGTGTCAGGGTCATCACTTCTTCCACCGCTGTTCCTGCACTGTTGTCTATCGTGTGTAGGGGAACAGTGGTTAGTCCATCTGTTGTGTTCTTCAGCTCCACACTTCAGGGTTGAGAGGATTAAATAGAGACAGATCTGGAAGAACACACCCTTGGGCGTAGCCCGGGTAGTATCTCATGTCTAATTTCTAGATATAAGCAAAAAGGGTATTCATTATCACATCAACTACCGTGCACACTGCACTGTCAGATTGAAAGTGTCACGATTACTAAGATTATTAATACTTTGATATCTTGAAGCTCACCATGTGTCCAGTCTATGACTGTTGGTATCAATAACGAAGAGTTCCCCAGGTTGATAGGACCCTGCAGTGATAAGAGACGCCAGACCAACCGGACCTACTCCCACGATAGCTATACTCATTCCAGGCTTGATAGCTCCGTCCAACAAACCTACTTCTAATCCCGTTGGGAGGATATCCGAGCACATGACTATAGCATCCTCTATGTCAGTATCCCACACATCCTTCGGGATGAGCTGCGGAGAGTAGGGGTTATAAACGGATTACAGGGAAAATGGGTTAACAAGAAGTACAAAAATATACAAAAATATACAGGAAATACAGGAAATACAGAAAATACAGGAAATACAGAAAATACAGGAAATACAGAAAATACAGGAAATACAGAAAATACAAGAAATACAGGAAAGAATAAACACGTGAAATACAACTACAAGGAAAGCTCCCTACGTCAGAGCTAATTGACAGCAGATAACTTGGAGCTGAAAAAGTAAAATGTCCATTAAACCTGTGTACTGAAATCTGCATGAGGTACCCGAGCATGGGTTCCTTGCATCCCGTCAATGGTATTACCTAAGAAACACGGTGGTAATCTAATTTACTTTTTGGCTAGAATTTAAATGACAAACGAAAGGTTGATGGAAGATAACCGATTGTATTTCTTTTTTGAAAAATATATTGTTTTCATCACCACACTCCAGAGCTCCAGGACTGAAATTGTTGGAAACCTGTTATTATAAAGAAGTACTTAATTTACGGGTCGCCCCTGTAAAATGAGCTCATTAGATAATGATTAGTGATTACTCCTTCAGAAAGTACTCCGTCTAGTAGAATGAAGTTAACAGATACGTTAGAACTTCCCAACACGACGTTACCATGACAACACACACAAAACCGTTAATTATTTTCCACTTTGCTGTGACCTGCAATGTGAGTTTACGGTTTAATATGTGAAGAATTTATAACAATTTGATAAGAAAGAGATATCATAAATATTACTGACAATGATTTGGATACCTACCTAACGAGACATATTTTTTTTAAATCCCCAAATACCATGAATTTGATACATGTTTCGGCGCGAAAAGTGGCATGCAAAAGTGGCATGCAACGTATGTCAACCATGAATCAATTTGGGGTACAAAATGCTATGGTTTTCGGCAGGCAAAAAATCCCATATTTTCGTTCCCAAATCATTTAGGTCACCGGAATTATGTCAAATACAAATATGTCTCGTAAGGTACTTTGTAAATGTTTTCGGAAAAAAAGTTTTTCAGAAACCCTAGGAACCAGTATCTGCAAATAAGTGAAATGTGAGGGATTTTAAGGATAAAATACCAAATTTAACAATCGTTACTTACAACAGTACTTACAACAGTACTTACAACACTTTTATAATTGTGAAAGTTGAAAAGTTGGCTCCTGAGATGATGCAGAAAGAAGAGCAAAACTCTAAACTAAATTACAAAGAGTGACAGAGAAAAAGAGGTTGTAATTTTCAACATAATCCCAGGAGCCGTCTTGAACAGACATTGACAACACTACAATTACCCAGCTGCCAGCCCCCATCCACACAGTGACCATGGAACTGAATTCTGCAGTTGTCACATACGCCACATTGGGTAGTCGTGTTCACCAGGACTCTTTCGCCAACTCTTCGCTTTTGAACGTTTGAACCTTGAATAAAAAGTAGTAGAAGAATAAAACGATGATTTGAAAATTGTTTATCAACGTTGAGAAGTGTTTATCACTGAATTAACAAGGAAATACTGGTACTCTGTCCGTTACCCTGACGACTCACCAACTTGTACGATCTCTCCAATACCCTCGTGTCCAAGTCTCGTTCCTGGTTCACAAGATGACACGTTCCCCTTCAGAATATGGAGATCTGTCCCGCAAATTGTTGTTTTCAGTACCTGAATAAAAAAAGGAAATAATTAATTATTAGCAGTTTAATATCTGTAGTGATACTAAATCCCCTTTTAGAAAATATTTCAAATGATCCCCGAATATCTTCACATAATTTCATCGCCCTATATATAAACAACATTACCGACATACCTTAATGATGACATCAGTGGGATGCAGTATCTCCGGCATGGGAAGACCAGTCTCAAAACAGAGAGGATGTCCTGGACCCTTGTAAACGACGTGAGAGCAGGAGTTGTCATGGTGATGAGTAGGAGTTGTGAGTGCAGGAGTTGTGAGAGAGTTGTCCCAAACAGGTTGGATAACTTCTGGTTGAAGTTCTGGCATCATGGGGCTCCTGACGTCGGGTGTCATGGTGATTCGTCTCATGCTGCGGGAGAAGGTTTTGAAGAGAAATATTGATTATATTAATTGTAAATTTGAACCTAATTGCTTATTCGTCAGTTCACAGTACATATCAGTATTTTGAAATCATCCTAGAATGTAGAATTTATCGTAATGATATCTCTCACATTTTAAAATTAATTTTGAATAATTCATGGCCTGGTCTGAATGTAAATCTAACCTGCCACGTGTTACACTTGCATCCACTTCAATCTGAGCAGAAGAAGATCGAAATGCGCTTGAGAACAGTCTCACTTGAGCGGCGGGAGTTTTCGTCAAAGCCTTTGCAAATTGACGGATTGCTCCCAACTTAATCGTGTTCTTGCTGATTATCATCTCTATTTGTTTCCTAAGAATGGATTGGTTAGAACGTTATGAAAGACGATACCCGCCTATAAATGTCAGGATTAACCGAAACAGTCGAGTAAAGTAAGGGGTGTATGGGGTACAAAAATGAGGTTAATAACAAAAGGTCAACAACCACAAAGGATTAGGAAGAAGAACTAGTAGTCTAAAATGACGTGTACAATCCTGAAAGGAGAGTACAACACGAGAGAGACTATATATACTTTATTATGATACTACTAGTTCTACGCGGTACTTAAAGTTAATACATAAATGCTGTGCAAACAGAGTAGAAACTTTATTACTACTACTATTACATTAGTACTACTACTAGTAGTAGTACTACGCGGTACTTAATATATAAATGCTGTGCAAGCAAAGTAGAAAAAAGCTGATAATTTTAGCCGTGATTTAACTCACGTTTCCTCAAATATTATTTCTAATTTCAAGTTGAGTAGAAACGAAAGATTTATCTTTTACTCAACTGTCGTCAACATCAAATTACAGTTAAACTGGCTCACTAAACTGAATCAGAATGTGCAGCTCTTATCGAAAATATCGATAAATACATTTTTCCGAATTCCGTGAAAAATAAAATGATTTTTATATGCATTGGCATTTGGTTAGTTAACCTAAATATTTGTCACACCGTTAAATATCTAAGCTGATTGTGGGATAATTTAAGATTTAAACCGTATTACTAGAGAAAAATAACTTTAAGCTCTCGAACTGTTTTTCGAAAACTTAAAATGGAACTAACCTCTTACCATGCCATCGGTGTTTTAAGCAGGAGCTCTAAGTTTAACTTGTTTATTTTTCAAGTTATTTTTTTAATTCTAGTATTTGGAAACTAGATTCAAGAACAAGTACGTGTTTTAAATAAGATTAGGACCATTAATTTCTAATCTAATTCGATAAAGTTTTTATCAGTAATTCGATGATAATTCTATATTCTGGCTCTACTCTACATCCGGATATTGTAGTTCACAAATGTTTAATTCCTGTTTAATTCCACGAACAATCAGACGTCTTGTGATGAAGGCATGATGCCAAGAAAGAAGAACAGACTTTAGTTCCGTCGCTTTGCCTAATTGGACTGAGTGATGTCAGATGTGACCCGTACTTTTAAAATGAGCTGATAAGGATAACAAGTTTTTGTAAGCACAATTCTCCCGAATTGGACCACGAGTTTCATAGACTCTGCAGGAACACAGTACCGAAGAAGTGCACCACGAGTTTTATAAGTTGCTAAGGAACAGAATCCACCACATGCATACACCAGATACTTTCAGCCTAGCCAACTTTGGTTAAACCAGTATAAAAGGTTCAGACAGGTTGTTCAACAGAATGAGACCTGATTCACCAGCTTTAGCATCCGGATTGGGTTTTAAATTGTGGATAGAGGAACATCACTCAAAAACAGAAATATTTAAGTTTAAGTTAAAAAGAAACAAACACAATCTAAATACTTATACAGTGCTGACTTCCTCCTTCAATTCTGTTCACGGAGTGACAAAACTGCCCCTCTACAGCCCCTGTACAGCCGCAATACAGCCACAATACAGCCACAATACAGCCAATTTACAGCCACAATACAGTCACGATACAGCCACAATACAGCCACAATACAGCCACAATAAGGCCACAATACAGCCAATATACAGCCACAATACAGTCACAATACAGCCACAATATAGCCAATTTACAGCCACAATACAGTCACGATACAGCCACAATACAGCCACAATACAGCCACAATACAGCCACAATAAGGCCACATTACAGCCATAATACAGCCACAATACAGCCATAATACAGCTACGATACAGCCACTATACAACTACAATACAGCCCCTATACAGCCACATTACAGCCCCTATACAGCCCCTATACAGCCACAATACAGCCACAATACAGCCACAATACAGCCACAATACAGCCACAATACAGCCACAATACAGCCACAATACAGCCACAATACAGCCACGATACAGCCACAATATAACTACAATACAGCCACGATATAGTACGTGCATGCGTGACCCGCTCGCCCAAATTTTAAGAAAATTCATGTTGAAAGGCCCTGAAGGTTTAAAAGTAAAACTGTTCGGTGTATTTTTGGATGCTCACATAATTCCCAATCGTAAATCACCCTGGCCACATAAGTGATAAGTTATGAGTCATGACGTAAGTTGAAAATGCTTCCCTGGAAATTAATTATGGGCAAAAAACTTAAAAACTGTTTCGGTCACGTGACAGGCTAATAAAACACCAATTTTATTTAATAATAATTGTTAACGGCTCGGGTTAGGGTTACAGTTGTGGTCGACTGGTAGGTTAGGGTTTTGGATTACGGATAGTTTTGGGGTTGCAGTTAGGGATATTAAGGTTGGGATTAAGGTAATAAGGTTCATGTAAAAGCGTTTTGTTCGGCAGCAAAAACATAAAAACCAAAGCACAAAGTCACGTAAAAATAGTTTGGCGAGCAAATTATATTTGTATAAGCTTGCGTGTCGCTTAACTGTTAACGGGTGATAATCATAAAATATTTGTTCCATTTATATAATATCCTGTTCCAGGACCGTCGACGAGTCCAACTCGGCGAGCGTCCTGGTAGTGGTAGATTGTAAACCTACAACGTGTCGCGTGACAAGTCATCAGCGTACAGCATGGCATTAACGAAATCGTATATAACCAATTGGACTTTTAAATTGTCCATTGTTAATGGACTAGCCCGTCGCGCGCGCTACTTTAAGTAGTAATTGTCTTATACTTACACTGTCGTACTGCTCAGTACTTCATGCTTGATATGAGCGGTACTTATGTTCACAGAGGCGCGCGCTCAATCACAAATAATGAACGCTCGAGCGCGCAGTTTTTGGAAGCTTTCCATTTAATTAATTATTTAATCATTAATTGGCATCGCAGTGTTGACGGCTTGTACTGCGCAAACGACTGAAATTTCCCTTAAAATATTTTAACGGGTGAAACTCGTAAAATATTTGTTTCAACTCGGCGCGCGTCCTGGTAAGTTGTAAACATACAAAAAAATATTCTGCTCATAAAATTTTGGCTCTAGTAATTAATAAATGTGACATGTAATTTTAAGTTAACAATTAAATTAATTGACGATGTCAATTCATCTCAGCTCGGCGCGGCACAGTAGCGCATTTTGCCGATCTAAAGAGAGATCAAGCCTCATTGAGTGCGCGGCGCGGCACAGTAACGCATCGCGCTACAACAATTAAATAAATTTTGCGCGCAGTGTAGCGCTTACAGCCTAAAGATTCCTCAACAATGTGTTACTGTGTGCGCGGCGGGCTGTATATATGGTTGAACTTCAAATTTGATTGTTTTGTGGTAAATAAAAATTTGACTTTTTAAATTTTTTGTCTTTCTTACTTGTCTAGGGCTTAATTGACGATGTCAATTCATGGCAGCTCGGCGCGGCACAGTAGCGCATCGCGCTACAAGTCTAGGGCCATTTCAAGAAGAAAATTTCGAGAAGAAAGCGCCGCGCACTACTTCGAAGAAATTTATACGAGTAACATCTATGAAGCCTTTATAAAATACGAAAACGCTTAACTGACAATATTTATTCTTTGCTAATCGGCGTAGCGCATTTCGCCGATCTAACGGTCAGAAAAACCAAGACTCATGCTGCCGCTGAGCTTTTCTGGGATCTAGCACATCCTGAAGCAGACCAACTTACTTAATTGTACTTGTACTTGAAAAGGTCTCCTCGTAGTCGTTGGAGTGGCCTGCACCACATGGTAACTCCTTTCTCCGGTATTAGACCTCTCCAGTGAACCCTGTCTGTAGCTTGTTGTTCTGCATCTTCTATCGAGATGTTATCGACACCTGTGAAGATTGCTGCATCCTCCCGAACACATGACAACCAGTTTTTCCGAGGTCTACCTTTTAACCTTTGTATGTTGTTGCCCACGTTAAAGGGCCTGTTAATAATTAATTAAATTTTTAGCTACTTTACATTTATTAATAATAGTTATGCCATAATGGGTAAAGATACAGTGTGGAAATGACATTTATCAGGAAAGAAATAAGATTTGACTTGTTGATCGAGAACAACAATTATTGCTATTAGAGGAGAAAGAGGGAAAGAGCGGTAGTGCAGTTATAAAAGCAGATTTAGGTATAAATTTACAGCCAGTGCACTAGTGATTAGGAAAACAAATTTCTAGGAAAACAAATTTAAATTTTGGTATTTATTAATAACAATCAAAACATATCATATCATAAAAATAAAGCCGCGCGTTGGTTGACTGCCTCAGTAAGGTGACTAATTTAAACTTGAAGGTGCCCTGCGCATTTACAGAACCTTATGCGGCGATCACATATTCACGAGGACCTGTGAGCGCCAAAATTAATTTAAAGTTTCTAGAAATCATACATCACTACGAGTTACTCATGCTTTTGGATTATAAGAGTGCGGATTGTCAGGTATTTCATTCATTCATACTTAATCGGTTTAAAGCTGTATATTTAGAACTCACTATTGTTTAAACTACGAAAGCAGAACGTAGATAATGGACAATATACCGACGACAATACCAAGGACCCGAGTGCCGCATTGACTTTTCCGGATCCGATTGGGAATCGAGCGGTTTACTCGATTAATGTTTACTCAAAATTATAATACAAACAGTAATAGATATAAAATAGTAATGTTAAAGAATTCTTTTTAAAACAAACCCTCTGGAAAGGGCACTGCACACTGTTATCAAAAAGTACACTGTGATCATGAAGTACTATGAACTACAGATTTAAAAACACGACGCTTCACGTTACACATGATATTACACATCCATAATATCGATCCTATATGTTAAGAAGTTTAGACTTGCACTGAACAGCTTGGACTATTGTTTTTAAAATTTTGTGCAAAATTTTACCATCAGTGATTAATGATGTTATTAATTATTAATTAAAATTGAAATTTAAAAACACCACTATTAAGCGTACACTTTTAC